AGTGTCTGGTAGTTCCAGGAGAGGAGACAGTAAATACGAATCTCTAACACTACTGCTAACTCCTGGGTACAGTAACAAGACAATTTGGCTCTGACAACTTTTCAGTCAGGATTCCATCAGCTAGAAAGCCTAATTAAGAAATGTAGACTGGATTTTGGATTGTGCAGCTTGCAAAGATCTTAATAAAAAAAGCATTTGCTCTTCCTTGCCACCAGAACTTTACTGTCAGCAGCTTTTCAGCCTCATGAGATGAGTTGGGAGGGAAAAAATCATTACAGCAGTACATGAAAAAACACAATATACTATGACTGAAATTAAAAGTTGCACTAACTGGTCCCAGTGTAGACACTCAGCCCACCTTCCCCCACACTAAGATTGTGTTCTTAGGACTGAGCCACACACCACATCCACTTATCCCCCACAGAACACTACACAGTGAATGATCCCTTTCACTAGTTCATGTCGTGCATAGATCTGAGACTTTCTGAACATGAAGACACCAAGTGTGATGTTATATACAGATTTAACAGAAAACTGCACCAAACTTTTTCTTAACTTGGCCAATATTCGACTCCCCAGGACAACCTATCACGAAATACCATAGGGAACTATCCACCACGAATGTCACACCAAACAGTTCCAGACTTACCATTAGCTACATATGTGATCTTGCAGAGGATGTTGTCCCTGCTGATCTCCTTGTTCCCCTCTGGTGGGCTCACTAATGTCTGACAGATCATAGCAATGTTGATTTTGGCACGGACACAGCGATTGTTGAGCTGGCAAAAGACACATGTTGGTAAGCCTCAAACTAACTCTGGTTCAGCAAACTTATGATCACTAACATTTTGATTCACTATGCAGGCTGAGACACCCTAGGAGCTGTTTCTGAGGGTTTGCAGTCTAGCACTGCCTGGATCTAACACGAAAGGGATGTGGTGAATAGGGAAAGGACTGCACTAAAATGCCTCTGAATCTCAAGTTTCTGCTTCCTTAACACATATTACTTTAATTATTGTTACCAATCAGTAAAGAAACATTGAAAGAAAAATGTATCAGTGTCTGCAAATACCAACTAATATGTTTTCACTTCAAAACAGGCTAGGGCATAGCAATCCAAAGGAAACAATCATTGCTGCTCTGACACAGCCAAGGCAAAGCTGTGCATGGTGGAGACAATCCCATCTACAGTTACACCATCCTACTCCTGCATCTGACAATATTCAAGAGTTACAGATTTGATTCCATACAAAATAACCTCAAACTCTTCAAAATGTTTTCACATCTCCATAAATTTTGCTTGTGACCTGTTGAAAGCACCTTAGATCTGACAACTGTCAAGACTCAAGGCAAGAAAGCTTTAGGCTCAGAATGTCTTCATCAGGTCACTGTGCCATCTAGTTTAAAACAACTCTATTTTGGTTCACTTCCCTCACACTAGTATTCCACATGCATTAGCACACAGCAGAAAAGCAGGACCTTCAAAGCAGAACTTCACAGAATCAAACCAATACTTACAGGAGCACTGTCATGCTCTACAGAGAAGTTGCACACAATCCATGTCTCTGGGTCATTTTCACTGAACGCTGGTATCTTTCTGATGGCAGACAAGTACAGCACGTCCCTTTGAGAGGCTGGCCACACCCTCTGCAGAGAAACACCTGAACATAAGCTTTTCCAGGTTTGCAAATTAAGTACTTACTATCCTTAGATACAGGGGAAAAAACAAGCAAGGCAAACCAGGTCAGTTATGGCATGAAGTGTCTTCAAGTTAGCAATTTCGTTTTCAAAACTGGAAATGAATATAACTGTTGCAAACAGGTAACAGAAATCTCAGGTTGTGTGGTTATGCTTCAGATCAGAAAAATTAAGGCAAAACTTTAAGGCCTTTGAAATCACAGAATCAATCAGGTTGGAAAAGACCTCCGAGATCACCAAGTCCAACACATGACCTAACACCACCATGGCAACCAGACCATGGCACTGAGTGCCATGTCCAGTCTCTCCTAAAACACCTCCAGGGATGGTGACTCCACCACCTCACTGGGCAGCACATCCCAGTGTCTAATCACCCTTTCTGGGAAGAAATGCAGAGAGCCAAGCTGCGATAGCTTTTCCGGTAGACAACAGGAAGAGGCAGCTCCTGTCCTGTTCCCTCAACCCCAGGTTTACAGCTCAGTTAATACTTGTAAGCTACAAACTGAACCAGCGTTTAAGCATAACAAGATGTATCTACAGTTGCTTATGTCCCTGGAGAGAAAGAGAGAGAAGAGATATTTTTTAAAAGTATTATAAAAAGCTAGTACTTCAGTAAGTCAGATAAGGCAAACTGGTATTATCAAAAATAATCTGGAGATCTTGGATATCTGGAGAAGACAAGGTTGCATGGAGACCTCATAGCAGTATTTTAGTATCTGAGGAGGCTCCAGGGAAGCTGCAGAGGGACTCTGTGTTAGGAGCTGCAGGGATAGGACAAGGAGTAATGGGGAGAAATTGAAAGAAGGGAATTTAGATTAGATATCAGGCAGGAGTTCTTTCTTGTGGGGGTGGTGAGACACTGTCCCAGGTTGCCCAGGGAGGCTGTGGCTGTATTGGTACAGGTTGCCCAGGGAGGCTGGGGCTGCCCCAGCCCTGGCAGTGTTCACAGCCAGGTTGGATGGAGCCTTGAGCAACCTGCTCTGAGGGGAGGTGTCCCTGCCCAGGGCAGGGGTTGGGGCTGGGTGGTCTCTAAGCTCCATTCCAACCCCTTAACATTCTATAGATCCTATATTGTCCTGAACAGTATTTTAAGTTGTTGTGCCATTGAAGTACCCAGAATAATGCTGGAACACACATGCCCCATGTGTCTCAGTAAGTTATTGCATAGGGATGAAGAGTTTTACCTTGTGTGTCTGGTAAATGATGATTGCATTATCGGCTAAGTTCTCCACAACATGGAAGTTTTCAATTGTTGCTACAAGAGAAAGGGGGGAAAAAAATCCACCAGTAAACAATCACAGACATCAAGTCAATGCCATAAAAAATCTCCTCGCAGATAAACATGCAAACTGAGGAACCAGTTCCTTACTTTCCCAGTCATTGCGGACATCGACATTCCAGAAGTAGTGGCAAACTTCATGGCCTGTTACCCCTTTGACAGCATGAGTAGCTTTCAAAGGGTCTAAAACTATGCCATTCTCTTCCACTTCTCTTCTGTACACCTGCAGCAAACACAAAGAGAGAAATGTAGAATAGGAATTGTCACAACTCCTCATGTTTTAACTGTTTAAATTTAATCAGTTTAAGATAACCCCAAAACACTTACCTAGAAGATTATCACAGGAATAACTGCCATGTGAGTGTTCTGTCTCTGCTGCAGACATTCTTACATGGCAGTTCATGTTAAAATACTACTATTTAAAGGATCTCTAGTGGAAAGATGATCAAGCTACCTGATTTATCACTGTGCACAAGGATCCAGAAGCACAGCAGAGCTACTCTAGCATTTCTGTACACTGAATTTAGACATCACTTTATGAACAAGCTTCAGGTGGGAAAGAATTGAGAAAGGAATCTGCAAAGACAAAGCTATTGCAAGAGTTACATAGGATTTTGTATGGATAAACAGATTAAAAGCCACAGCTCTAGTGAATTCCACTCCCAACTCAAACGATTCTATTCTCAGAGAGAAGTTTCAGCAGTATAGCTTCCCAAAAAATCATGGAATCATTCTGGTTGGAAAAGATCCTTCAGATCACTGAATCGAAGTGTAAACCTAACACTGCCAAGCTCACCAGGCTGAAATTATCTCTCTTCACAGCACATCATTAAACAAATCCCAAATGTTTACCTTCATCTCTCCTTCTTCTACCACTAGCTGCCAATTGGCATCTCCTCCTACATCTTGCAAGGAGTATGTCATGTGGTTTTGTACCATGTCTTCCACCTTTAAAAGAAAAAAAAAATAGGCATTTTTAAGTCATTCCTTCCATCTTTTTGTGCAGAGATCTGACAGAATGGGAAGTCACAAGTCAATACTTCAATTCCTGTGCAGGAGCTGAATTTGAACAAGAGAACTTTCTAAGTTAAGAACGAGTAGGTAATGCTGAATCTTGATTCCACTTCCAACTTCATTCTTTGTGGGCACTTCCTATCCTTCCTTTGAGCCTCTAAGCTGCCAAATCTCACCACTTCCACCTAAACCAGTTCTGCTTCAGCATACAGGAAATTCAGGCATCTCTAACCAGAATGACAGTGCACTGGAAGATATTCACTGAGGAGCATTTCACAAGCTGCACAGGGAGAAGGCAGACAAGTTCTAAAGAAGTGAATGCTTATCAAAAGTCATATTGAATGAGCAGTGAAGAAAACAGTCACGAGCCAAGGGTATATGCTCTGTTTCACTGGCACCTTGCTACAGTTTCCAGCTAGAAGAAAAGAACACAAATGCCCACACTGAAAAATTATGATGGTTATAAAATGCTCATTTAATAACTATTTAGCTAGACAGCTGTGCCTTTTCTTAAGGCCAAATATTTGGTATATTTTTATCAATCTATGTGAATACCTCATTTTTTTATTCCTTATAATGTGCATAAAAATGGGTACTGGGACAGGAAATGGATTTTTATCTTAAATCTATCTTACTCTGTTTCTTTGGTTCCTTGCCCCCTTTCCAAATGCCCCAAATACAAACAGAATTGTAAGGTTATCTATAGCTGTGTAATGTTTTGAGTATTGGAAACACTTCAGTAACTTTTTTCCACCCAAAAAGGTAAGTGGCTACTAAACTTGTCCCAGCAAGTCCACATGACTCACACAGTTTTTCTGAATTACTAGAAATACCTTCTTTTTTTTTTTCAAAAGGAAAAGCACTAAAGCAAAGGTTAGACTAATCTTTGTGTTGGTCAGTTAATGAACAGCCTGAACCCTCAAGTGCTTTTGCACAGCTTACAAAGATAACGAAGCCTAGTGTGCAATAAAATAACATATAAAACATGTATTTGAGCAAACAAAACAAGTAGAAAGCTAAACTAAATAAGGATCTTTCCTTCTGCGTATGATATAAAATTGAAGGATGTTATTTACTTCTAACTGAAGTCAGTAATTTTGTCTGTGCTATGTACTCCACAGGCAATACACCTAAGACCAGGAAGAAAAAGGGTCATTGAACCAAGTCAAAACCTCCAAACATCAAAATTAAATCTATTGGATGGAAATTCTAGTTGGTCTTGGTTTATCTACAGACTTCTCTAGAGCAGGAACACTTACGCTCCAGTTTTCGCAGGGTTTTGAGGTTGTTTTGGTGTTGAGTTACGATGAGCTAAAAGCACCCCCAAGACTTGTGTTTCTGCTTTTGGACAATGTTTGCTGCCAGTTACTAGCAGGTTTCCTACAAAAGATCCTTCTGCTTTGTTTTCCAGTGCAACAGTGGCAGCACAACACAAACCAGGTATGAATGTGGGCTATTTAAACCTCCAACTTACTAGCTCTAGGTCACACTTCCTTCAGAAAGGAATCCTTGCCACGCTCCCAACATTTACTTGCCACACCTTCAGGTTCTTTTGTCTCTTCTCTCCCAACTCTGAATTTATTAAGCACAGACGTATCCTTTATACAATAATTATTGCCTTTTGCTAGTACCAGTGTGCCAGGCAGCCCTGGTCTGAACATTAAGTGTCACATTCTTCACTTTAAAGGGCCTCAGAACAACTCAACCTATTCTAAAATCTCTGATATCCTCAAAAGGAAGTGAACTGACCTCCCACACAACTGGAAGAGGCAAAACTACGCCTTGCCAGAGGCACAGTGAAGGACCAGCTCTCACCAGAGCCCCTGGTTTATACCTCTCAATCTTAGAAACAAGGTTGCAAGTTTCTACCTAAACTTTTACTGACACCAAAATTTCCTTCATTCATATGAAGTGCAGGAAAAAAAAAGTCACATTTATTAAGAATCAAGATCATAGATTCATAAAATGTTAAGGGGTTGGAATGGAGCTTAGAGACCATCCAGCCCCAACCCCTGCCCTGGGCAGGGACACCTCCCACCAGAGCAGGTTGCTCAAGGCTCATCCAACCTGGCTGTGAACACTGCCAGGGTTGGGGCAGCCACAGCCAACCTGGGCAACCTGGGACAGTGTCTCACCACTCTCACAGGGAAACCTTGTGTCTGATATCTCACCTGAATTTCCCTCTGTCAACTTCTCCCTAACTTCTCTGTCAACTTACTCCTTGTCCTAGAACATCCTTCACAAAAGCCAAACTGCTAGCCTGGGGACGGAGGCCAATTTTTTACTAAGAAGTCCAGAGCAGGTTGAAAGGAAAGCAGGTAAATGAACAAATGTGCTGCTTTTCTCATCATGCTCTCTGTTGTCTTTAACCTGTCTGTCCAGCAGCACTGACGCTCCAGAGCAGGTGGACTGACCTGTGGGTCTGGCAAACATTTGCTCTAGGAAAAATACCCGCGGGATGAGGGTGCGTGCAGGGATAGCAGCTCTCTGTAGGGAGCCCATTAACTTGAATCTCATTTGAAGGCTCTCTGTAGTAACTCCCAAGTAGTATAATCCATGCAGCAGTTGAAAAGAGCAACCTGACTCCAGTCCATTTGATCCTGATCCTTAACCACCATCTGCATCAGTGTGATAAAGGCCTGCCCCACCTCAGGTTTGTTTTTCAGTGGTTAGTTCTGCAGCCACAGCAGTGCTCTGGTATTCAGGGTTGCCATTTGAATGCAGAAGGACATCACAGGCATAAAAGAGGTGAAAATAGGGACACCTGTGTACCTTGGCAACTGTGAGCCTCCCTTTTACTCATCTGCCTGTGCACCCATAACCTGACACAGTAAGAGTTTCTATCCTTGCAACCAAACCTGCCTTCTGTACTTCCTTGCTTTATTATCCTGTCCTCTCAAACAGAGAGAAAACTGAAAGACTAACTTGTTTTGCTAAGGACTTGTATAGTTCTTCCCTTGAGATAAATTCAGAATTCAGAAACAAACTGACTGCAAAAATTGCTGGGATTTAATCCCAGGAAACAAGTCCTTAAGTGCTGGGCCTGATTGTGAACTCAGTAATAAGGGAGTAAAATTCCTGGCACTGTTGGTCAAAACAAAAATCCATTCCCATGTGAAACAGCAGGTTGTTTGCAGTGGTTGCTAATAATTCACAACAACTCTGAAACAACAGGTCCCAGAAGGAAGCTCCACATTCACAATCACATATGGATCACAGCAGAAGGAAATTAACTGTGTGAATGCCATACCTGAATAACCCTTTGGGAGACTAAAGAGCAATGTGGAATCACCTATCTAATTCTACACTAAATGATGATTTTCAGAGCAAGCACCTAGAGCAATGCACATTACTGGGATGTGCCATTATGGCTGCACTGAGATACTCAGGATGTCAGACTTATTTTCTGAAGGATAAGCAAATACACAAACTCTTCAGTAAAATTTGTCATAACCACAATGTTGTTAGCCAACACACTTTAGGGCCTTCCAGTCATCAAACCAGTAAAGGTAAAAAATGGTAACAGTGCACCATAACATTTAATATAGATATTATATTGATGCCATTACAAACATTAAAGACAAAATTCAAACCTGTGATTTAAAAGCAACTAAAAATACTTGATATGAAGCAAATATCACCTGCAGCCTACATAAAACAGGTGTTATTCTTACTTCCACTGTGGCTAGAAAGACCAAATTTTCAAACTGTATGTATTAAAGCTATTAAATCAAACCCATCAGTTTCACAAGAGTTTGGGCCTCTGCATGAGTGGGAAGCATGCAAGCTGGATGCAAAGAAAGACAACCATTTAGTACAGGAATAGAGAACTGCTTTGTTTGCCCCAACGTACTAGTGTAAAGCAAGCAGTGACTGATGTAACAAAACAACCCAGGTTCTAGAGAAGAGGATGAAACACAAGCAAAGATATGCAACCCCCACATCAGTACAGTACCTGGGTGCTGAATCTGTGAACATCATCAGAGGCACTGACTAGATCAATGGAAGACATGGAGGAAGAGCGACTATAGGGCTACCAGAGACAGACAAAGAAAAAACCAAGTAATCAGAACAAAGGCACAACAGAGCATTCAGTACCAACTTGCAAGCAACAAGATAATGAAGAAAAGGAAAACAAAAGCACCATAAGCAGCGAGGACAGCGGCGAATGCTGATTCCATGCACCTACTATACATTATGCTCCCCAGTGTAGCCCTGACAGGAGCAGAGTGTTTCCAGTAACACTGAAATACAGTCAAATCCTGATACAAATGACTGGATTTTTGGGTGTTTTTTAAAATAAAATCAATTCAATGAATTTGGGTGAAGGTATCTTGAAAACACTGGGGTTAGCCAGGTGGGGTTTCTCCTTTATTATCTGACAAGCTAAACACAAGTCTAGAATATTCTAGACAGATACTCCAATCAGTGTTTTTTGAGCCAAAACAAACACCAGTCCTCCACCAATTCCAGCTATTTTATTTGACAGTGAGTAACTACTGAAAGTTACTAGAAACACCAAAAATCTCACCTACCCTTATGAAATATCATATAGAAGTATCACAGTCCAGCCCATTACTCTGAGGAGACTGGGGAAATCCCTTACCATCTGCACAAATCGATGAGTGCCCGCAGCAGAATATTCATCTCCAGAAGGTAAGGAAGCTGGCCAGTGGAATCTAACCTTTTCATTCTGGGACTGCAACAAAACAGGTTTAATTATTATTAGTCAGCTGCTACTGACTGTGACACAAAGTGAGTCATGCTCCATCTACACCGTGGCTACAACTACTAGTGATGACCACGACAGGCATGGAGCTGTCATCCTGCTGGAATTCCTGAAGACTGGATTCATCTAAGCTTCAAGGTGTGTTGCTTAAGTTAGGGAAAACAGACTGGCAGCATTAAGGATCCATACAGTGCTATCACAGCCAATTTTACCCCCCACTAAGAGACAACAACATAGGTAAACTCACTTGGGGATTACATGTCCACTTGAAAGTCTTTCAATTCTCAAGTCATTGTATTCACTATATTCCTAAGTGTAAACACTTTTAAGACAAAGGATGCACCACTTTGTTATTCCCTCTCACTTTATATACTCCTATACTTTCTCATATTCCATACATTTTCTTATGTGCATCTTATCCCTTTTTGGCCCTTGTCAGTGAAGTGTATTGAAGAAATGAGTTTGGGAAGTAGCCAGAGCCTACAGAATCTTTAAATGAAACCAAACACCAACAGAACTATGTCCTTCCCAGTTCACATACCACTAGAGTCAGAAGAAACTTCAGACTAATGATCAGGTTTCAAGAGACAGCTGTGGTGTTTGATACTCTCATTTCAACAGGGCAGTTACATATAAAGGTAAGTTTGATAAAGGAAACTTACTTAGGAATTAGAAACTAGAGACATTCAATTAGTTGAACGCTTACACTATGCTCTTCTACGTAAGTTGTGAAGTCCCTCAAAATTAGCATGAACCAACAGTATGTAATTGCAAAAACATTCAGTGAAATCCCCTGATCAGTGTCAGAGTAAAACATCTAGTGCTCCAGGAGATGCACCTCAGGACTGAGTTTAAGTCTCAGAAGAGGGACCCATCATTAAGACATTTTTCAAGTAACAATACCTGTTCTTCCATTTTATCCTGTCTATCCAGAGCAGCTTCAACAGCATCAAAGAATTCTTCTTCATTAATCAGACTATTAGGACCCTCCTAGAGCATAAGAAGCAAAACCAGTTAAAAATTCTGGAGGCATGAGAATTCCACTTCAACTGAATATCAGAAATACGTATTTATATCACTGATGGAAGAAAATTTCTTCTATAGACCTCAGGTATTTTCTCCAATATTCTTAGATTACAAATCCTTCAAAATCCTCTGCTTGTAAAAGGAAATTACTCCCTCTAGCTGCAATTTAGGGATAGTTGCATAAAGCAGATAAAACAGGAAACTGAGTAATAGTGTCAATATGCTTTGACATCAGATTTGGGGTTCAATTAACAAATATCTTCACTTGCAAATGTTTACAGTGCATCAATGAAGTACAGCTATTAACTTGATCGTGTAGTTAGACTCCTTCCAAGTACTTCAGTGTTTTAAGGCACTGACTTTATGTGTTCAAAACACAAGAGAAGACAAAATTCTCTACTGAAGATTCTTGGAAAGAACAGTTTGACACTACACAGCCAGCAAATAAAAACTCCAGTCTACTAATTTGCCCAGGGAGGCTGTGGCTGCCCCAACCCTGGCAGTGTTCACAGCCAGGTTGGGTAAAGCCTTGAGCAACCTGCTCTGGTGGGAGGTGACCCTGCCCAGGGCAGGGGGTGAAACAAAATAATCTTTAAGGTTCCTTCCAGCCCAAACCATTCTGTGATTCTATGATTAGTCTTCAAAAGGTGTTTTATAAATCTTAGAATTGGACTAAATACCTGAGGAGGATGCTGATTAAATAAGCAATTTAATAGATGAAAGGAACTTAAAATCACTGAATTTCTCAACACAGTATTACAAGCGGAAGTGACAAGTTAAAATCATGTTAAACCTCACATTTTAGGACTACCTCTGCAGTCAGGGCTTTTGTATTGGCCTTACAGATCTCTGCAGCTGAACCATTAAAAAGGGAAAGCACAATGCTATTCCATATAAGCAGTATCAAATGTAGAAAAAAATAATCAAAAATCAACAGAAATATCTGTAAGCAACACGTTTTAGACAAAAGCAGAATCACAGGGTCAGTCAGGTTGGAAAAGACCTCTGAGATCATCAAGTCCAACCTATGATCTAACACCACCATGGCAACCAGACCATGGCACTGAGTGACACATCCAATCTCTCCTTAAATCCCTCCGGGGTGGTGACTCCACCACCTCCCTGGGCAGCACATTCCAGTGTCTAACCACCCTTTCTGTGAGGAATATGGATGGCTGAGGTAAAGACCTACTTCTGCTCACAAAACACAAAAAGACTGAGATTCTTATAGTTTCAGTTTCCAAGGTGAACACATAAATAGGGCATTAACACACCTGTGAATCACTTGCACTGGTTCATGCAGTATCACTTCCCCCTTTGAGAAACAACCCAGTCCTTAGAAGTGTATTGGGTTTGCATGGCCAGGGCTTGGCAGTGGGGGCTACAGGAGTGGCTTCTGTGAGAAGATGCCAGAAGTTGCCCCATGTCCAAGAGAACCAATGCCAGCAGCTCTGGGATGGACCCAAGGCCATGAGCAATGGTGGTAGCACCTCTGGGACAACACATTCAGGATTGGGGTAAGACTGTTCAACTACAGCCAATGAACAGAGGAGTCAGAATGTGTGAGAGAAACAGCTTCGCAGACACCAGGGTCCGTGATGGAGAGGGAGGAGGTGCTCTAGGTGCCTGAGCTTCTCCTGCAGCCTGTGGTGAAGACCATGGTGAAGCAGCTGTGCCCTCGCAGGCCATGAGGGTCCATGGTGGAGCAGACATTCACCTGCAGCCCATGGTGGACCCCACACCAGAGCAGGTGGATGCCCAAAGGAGGCTGTGATTCTATGGAAAGCCCCTGCTGGAGCAGTTCCTGGTAGGACCTGTGTCCCCATGGAGAGAGGAGCCCACGCTGGAGGAGGTTTGCTGGCAGGACTTGTGACCTGCACTGGAGCAGGTTGCTCCTGAGGGACTGCATCACATGGAAAGGGACCCACACTTGGAGCTGCTAAGGAAGAACTGCAGCCCATGGGAAGAACTCATGATAGAGAGGTTTGTGGAGGACTGTCTCCTGTGGGAGGGACCCCATGCTAGAGCAGGAGAAGAGCGTGAGGAGTCCTCCTTGTGAGGAGGAAGGAGTGGCAGAAACAGTGAGGGATGAACTGCCCACAACAAACCCCATTCCTTGTGCCTCTGCACAGCTGAGGGGAAGGCGGCAGAAAATTTGGAAGCAAAGTTAAACCCAGGAAGAAGGGAGGGGCAGGGCGTTTTTGAGATTGGATTGGTTGTAAATTAAGCTTCATTTCTCTATGCTGAGTCTGTTTTGCCTGTGTCAACAGTGGCTGAGTGATCTCTCTCTGCCCTTACTTCCGCCCAGAAGCCTTTTGTCACATTCTCTGTCTCCTGTCCAGCTGAGGAGAGGAGGGACAGAGGGGCTTGGTGGGCATCTGCATCCAGCCAGGGTAACCCCACCAGAAAAAGTCATTTTTAAGCATCTCAAAAACAGAACTCATACCTCATAGTCAGGCCCGCCAAAGTGGGACTTCTTCTTCAGTTCTGTCACAGCATTCTTGTAGGCTTCTTCAATTCTTCTCCTTCTCTCTAGCTCCTGTAAAATTACATGACCATTGGAAGCAGTGAGAACGAATTATCAACATGCCAATAAATGGAATAACCAAGTGTTGCTTTTTACCCCCCAAGCAGCAACTGCAAAGGTGATGGTTTTCTATATTTATTAGGTGTATACATTACATGTGACCATATATAGCTACATATATAACAAAAAGCTTGGAGAATTAGATATCTTGAGTATACCTTCTAGGTCACATGGAAGAAACCAGCAAGCAAAACTGATTTCCAGTTTCAGCAGAGCTATTTGTGGTTCATTGAGGGTCTGACTGGCAGTTTATATAAACCTCCTTGACACAGAGGCCTGGGCAGGGATAACAGAGGGGGAAAAGTAAAACTGGTAAAAGGCTAACTTGCTGAACGTGGTGATACACTAATAAGTCACACCCTCTTAATCTGTATCTATAATTAGGATCAATGGGAATCATTTTGTGGACTCCAAGCAGAGACTAAGAACTCAACATTGTTCTCCCATAAGAGGCTGTGACTGTACTAGTGTCACTGATGATGTCTGTATCATTGTGTATTTTGAATAAAGTAGTAGTAATGCCAGAATCAGATTAAGTCTAATAAGATTAAGTCTGCAAATTCTGGAGACTGACAGACACTTTCAGTGAACAAGCTATGAACACTTCTGACCTTCTTGAAGAATTCAGCTTTTAAATGTAAGAAGTTTCTCTGATTCCTTTCAGAATTACTTCAGGTGAAAAAAGTTAAATCTTACAGGTGACAACTGGACACCACACACCACTTCCTGATGATATAAAGTATTCAGCAACCCAAAGTGAAAATAAGGATTCAGTGGAAAACCCTTAAACTCTTGGAGTAAGGCCAGAGGAGGCCACAGAGCTGATCAGAGACTGGAGCACCTTCCCTACGAGGACAGGTTGAAAGAGTTGGGGCTGTTGAGCCTGGAGAAGAGAAGGTTGTGTGGAGACCTCAGAGCACCTGCCAGGAGCTGAAGGGGCTTCAGGGAAGCTGCAGAGGGACTCT